TATTATTTTAAAAGCTATTTTCTATTAACATGTTCATTTTCTTTAATCTCAGAATTGACTACCCAAAATAATTTATGTAGTATTCTCATCCAATTTTTATTTCTCTATTAAGCTGATTAACAAATAATTGACAAAGATATATAAGTATCTATTATCTATAGGTATTCTAGTATTTTGGTGCAATTTTTCTTACTCTTTATTAAATTAATTTTCATATTAATACAATTTTATAGCTTTGATAAGTTTGTTTATAAAAAGTTTAGATTAATATCGTTTTAAGCACTTATTATATTAAAATTTGGAATTCCCAAACAGAAACACTTCTTGGATTGTTGAAAACACAAATATTATTTGTTAGTATTTGCAATAAAGAACATTATAGTAACATTTGAATCCTGATAAGTAGACAGAGGAAATAATTGATTATTAATTTTAATTACTTATCCTTACATGGACTATATAAAATATTTCTATTGTTTATGCCAGAAAATATTTATCTAATTAACATACTGTACCCGTAATACTTACTCTTAGTAATATTCTAATGAATTTGTCTTTTCGGAAAACGCCAGAAAACTTATTTGGTTTTCTATCAGAAGTGAATATTCTTTTTTAATGGCAGAACAGGCTAGGCTTAAATATAAAATACCAAACAAAAATCAGTGCTAAAAAGTCTATGAGAATTGACTAAATATAGAAAATACACTTTACAAAGCATGTTTTTTTAAACTTTAGTTTTTTGATATTTGCAGTTCAATGACAGAGTTAAACTGTGCTTTTCTAGCACAAACACATGCACAGAAAGTTTTCTGAAATATTTTCTTTATCTGCCTGTTATATATTTCATTTTCAATAAGAGTTGTTTTTTATTGTCCTTTGGTTGATGGTATATATAAAACATGACAGTTGTTTTCTTCTTGCCTTTATTCTGAGCATCGTTGCTTCATTTAGTGTAGATATATTACTCCTATTGAGAATCTAAGATAATTTGATTCATGCAATATGTTCTTCTAAATATTAAATCAGACAAATGGAAGTTTTTGTTTATAAGGTACCTTTGTCAAAATAATAAGGGGAATAAGTTTGCCCTTACTGAAAAAGTGCCTCTTCCCACTGCTGAGCTGCGCATTCTTCCCATGCCTAGTCCACAAACTGGAAAGCATTTGAGGCTTAGAGGAAGAACTCTACTTCAGTTTCTTAAATTTCAGATTTATTTATTTATTTATTTATTATTCTTTGTATTTTAGGGAAGGGTCTACAAAGTTTTCAGGGTCTCACTACTGGATCAGACTCGTAGTGATCCACTTGTTTACAGCCTCCCAAGAGCTGGGATTATAGGTGTGCACCACCACACCCAGTCTCAACTGCCATCTCAGTGTGCCCCAGGGATGGAACCCTCGGCCCCTGTGCTTGCTTGTAGGCGTTTTAATCTGCCAAGCTATTTGGCTGGCCCTACTTAAACTTCCATTTTAAAGCAACTCTTCAGTTGTTTATCATAAAGTAACATTTTAAATGCTTAGCTTTAATATAATTCCTCCTATCATTCTTTGTCCTTTTTCTTTCATTTGTTTTGTTTGCCTTGCCCGGCCCTGTACTGCTTTGCTTTACTTTGCTTTGCTTTGCTTTGCTTTGCTTTGCTTTGCTTTGCTTTGCTTTGCTTTGCTTTGCTTTGCTTTGCTTTGCTTTGCTGGGACTGTGCCCCGGGCCTGAGCCACCTCCCCAACGTCATTTTAGTTTTGAACCAGCTCTGGGGCAGCTGCCTAGGTGAGTTCAATACTATGAACCCCTTGCCTCGGACCTGCAGAGTCCTGGGCTTGCCCTGCCCCAGCAGCGCAGGAAGCCACTCTTACTTCTCCTTTCCCAGCAGGCATAGCTTCCCACGACCACAGAATCGTTATTTCAGGGACAGCTACTATGACTGCTGTCACTGCAGAAGACACATTTCCTCTTTCCGCCAGCCTCAGAAAACAGCCATTACTCCTAGGGGTCAACACGCTAAACGTTGCTCCAGTTGGGACAGTCTTTCTGGTCATTGGTTATAGGAATATTGTAAAGTAATTGCAACATTCCAAACTTATTTTTTTTTTTTAAAGATTCTGACTTTTTTTTTGTTTTAAATATTTATTTATTTTTATTTATTACATTTATTTATTGTGTGTGTGTGTGGCCAGCTCAGCCCACCAGGGGGCGGGTCTGGCTGGCATGTGGTGCTGGGGATCGAACCGCGGTCCCTGTGCCTTGCCAAGCTTGTTTCAAGTAGGTGCTTTAGACCACTGAGCCATCTCTCCAGCCCCCATAAGGGTTTTTTTTTTTTTTTTTTTTGCCTTCCTTGAATGCCTTCAGGGCACTTTTGGCCAGCAGGAGAGTGGTGAGGTTCGAACTCCAGGAACCTGAGGCTGACAGCTTTGTGGAAGCATCAACTTAAAGACTGAGCTAGGGCCAGGCCCCATCAACATTCCAAACTTATACTCTAAACGATTTTCCAAATCTGTTTTCCACCTCCTTCACTTGAGACTATGGACACTTCCACACAATGCACGCTGGACATCTACACTGATGAGGAGCCATGGTGTGAGGTCTCTGGATAGAGCCATCAGGATGTTGTCTTCACTGATAGCTGTTCACAAAAGGACACAGCAATTTGTTTAATTGTCTCTAATTTCACTGTCGACTGTTGTAATACGGCCTCTGCTCACCCTCTACTTATTTCAACTCTGAAGACTGTTGTAGGTCCTTAAAGGAACATTTAGCATTGTAATCAGTTACTTTTAACTAACTCATAAACTTTAATGATGGTATGCTAGATGCTAGGAAAAATAAGACAAATAGATCAACTATCTGTCTTCCGGTCCCTGGCCTGTAAGACCATGGTAGAATGAGGTGCTGTTTTTAGCCAGCTAGCTATTATGATTCTACACATTTTCAATATATACTTTGTTTAAAACTGAAGCAGTATGACACACCACTACAAATGCTGAAGTGGATAGAGTAGTATTTTAGTTTCTCCAGAGAGTGAAAATGACCTTGGAGCAAACACTACTCCCTAAAACCTAGGCTGAAATTTCCTCAACAAATGTAAGTAATTCTCCAGAATATAGTAAGTAGCAGTCACATGGAGATACTGGGAGATGTGGGGTGGAACAAGCAAAGGCAAGTGGACAAAAACAAAGACCCAGATACTCAACCTCAAAATATAGCATGATTAACTAGCGCATCTCTATCCTGACATCCTGACAAATCTACTTCTGCTTTAGCACTTCTGATCTCCAGGAAAATTACTAGTATTCCCATCATGGAAATCCATCTAAGCCTGACAGCACCTAAGGCAGCCCCTTTAGGGTATACAAAACAAATCACATCTTATACCTGTTCAATATCTCCTCTCTTGTGAACACCCTAAAATTCATCTGTTATATTTGTGTGTATTTTCTATAGAAATTAAGAAAATCTAATATTCTTTCACTATCAGCAAAATCTTGGCCTAGAAATGGTATTCAATATATTTTTGACTTGATTTTTATAACTTTTTATGATATGTTAGAATTTATAGTTAACGAAGAGCTACAAGTCAAATGTGGTGACATCCGCCTGTAGTCCCCACAAGGGACAAAACTGAGGGAGAAGTTTCACAAGTTTCAGCCTTACTTAGGCAAATTATTGGCTTAGTGAGAATTTAAAATGTTTTTATTTTCAAGATAAAGAAAATATGAAGTAAAAAAGGAAGGTAAAGGATATTTATTCAAAGTCTATTAAATATCTTTAGCTTGATTTATATTGCCCCTTTAAAGGGATGAACTTTCTAGCTTATGATCAAATCCACAGAGGAACTGATTCTCTATTTTATAAACTCAGCTCAAATTTTGAATAATTTCTCCATGGTCATTCTATAAATAAATGTTGAAATTTGAACATGATCTCCATTTGGGCTTTCATGTATTTTGTTTCTGAGTTTGCTTCAAAAACAAGAGAACGGATGGTACCCTAAAAAAAAAATGGAGCTCCTTATGCTGTTGGTGGGAAAGTGGAGACAACTTCAATCAAAACTCTTCACTATCTGAAAGATCAAATAAGACAATGCAGGAGACAGAGCTTCCTGTCCTCTACTCTTACCTACAGTGTGTGACCCATTTTAATTCATTCAGTTCCATTTTGGTAAATAGTCCTAGGAACTCCAGACTATCATTGGAAATTTTCTCGGTTGTACAAGGTGTCAGGATCGCAAGCCTACCATATGCTGGCAGGTAGCGCCATCTCCTAAATCTCCACCTTGTCGTGTACAGATTGTGACTAATGAGAGTGACGCTTCTCTGACTCAGCTCCTTGGGGGGTTTGAGATCAGGATCCGGAGCATCCACTGAAGTCTCACAATTAATACTGCTATTATTAATGATAACTAATAAAAGTGAACGTACAGAATGTGCCCTGCCTTTGGACAGGCTTATAATATTTTTTAAGAAATTTAAAATTATTCTAATTCTATAGAAGTAGAGCTGGGAAACCAGGTCAACACCTAACGAAGTTGTTTTAATAGTCTCGCTGCTTCTCCACAACTCCTAGCACGCGTACACCACGCTGCGGTTCTGAACGTCATGCGGAATCTGAAGCTTATGAGATCGCCTTCATTGTCAAGAACGATGCGCAGACTACGACTACTTTTCTTTGAACGTGATTAATACTAATGAGGGTAGACTCGGCTGCACGTTCGCTGTAATTTCAGGCAATGCTGAGATGATTTTAAGTGCAGATTGCGTTGCTGCGGAGGGAAAGGAGGGAGGAAGTGTGCTACTTACAGTGGATTTCTAGCACCTGCATGGCTACCTGAGGGGTGGCATTGAGCGACTCGTGGTCCACCCTGCAGATGACCGCCACGCCGTCGTCGCTCCGGTCCACTCGGAAGTCCAGGGTGCTGCTGACGGTGAAGGTCTTCCGGTTGGCATCCTCTTCTTTCAAATACTTTACGTCTGAAAATAAAGTGGGACTCTTCAAATTCTATGACACCTCTGAAAACATTGCATCCACAAAACATCAGAGTATCTTCCCCCGTCACTTAAAAAAAAAAAAAAAAAAAAAAAATTGTTCCTTTGACATTTAATTCATTGCAATTTGAACAAAACTATGCAATCACTTCAAAAATAAAATTAAAAGGTTAAATAAAGTAAAACAAAATCACAATGCATATATATTAATTTCTTTGGTCTCAGACTTCAGTTATGATTAAAGGCAAATAATAAATTAATTCCACTTGAAAAAATGCAGACCAATTTAAAAGGTAGTGCCGTTTTTCTGTTAGATTTCAATTTTGTTAAAAGATAAGCTTGCCTCTCTGATCCACAAGCACAATTCCAGGAAGAATAAAATTTTTAAGTATGTGGTTATATACTAAAGAAAATAGATGTACTTGTGCTTTGGATTTAACTTGAATAATGGGAGCTAACAAAATTGGTAAAGTATACTTAAGTAAGAAAGAGGTCTTATTTGGTAAAATTAAGAGAGAGAGAGAGAGAGAGAGAGAGAGAGAGAGAGAGAGAGAGAGAGATCATCTAAATATTCTGAATATTTAGATAAATATTTGCAGTGAAATTTTCAAGGAGATTAATACTCAGTTGGCTGAGAAATCCATTTCAGCACAATGAAAATACTTTCCTCAAGATACAAATTCACTCATTGATCTTAAACTTACTGTGCATAAGCCAGATTTATTATTAAATGATGCACTTAGGGATTCTTTATTCTTTTTAAAAAAGAAAAAGTTTAATAAGATTCCATTTAATTCACAATTTCTCAGGTCTGAAGAGGCTGATAACAAGAGGGCAATTTTAACAGATTAGAAATCCGAACGGCAGGCTGAGGTTCAGCTAGCATTGTAACAAGATCTCAAATGGGGCTGAAAGGAAAATGTGTTCATTTTCAGGAGATTTTGCTTTCTTATCATGATCCAATATCAAATAAACAACAACTATTTTTTTTTTCTGGAAATGAGTAGGTATAAATGTGCTTCATTGAGTTTTGCTTGTTTCCAGAGAAATATAACTTTTTATTGATTAATTATAAAACCAATAGTAAGATAAATCTCAGGAAAATATTAAACTAGATAAATGTTATGTATTTTGTTCCTGAAAATGTTTATGATTATGTTCATATGTTATGAAAAATATCCAATTAAGTACTGTTCTTAAATAAATTTAGTGTAAGACAATCTTAACATTTGGAAAGGGACATATATGGAGCATAATAATTCAGTCCTTTTTATCATCAGTTAATCACATGGAACCTGAAATTCTATGCAAAATACTTTTAAATAAATAACTCTTACCTATTTTTATTGCAATGACTGAGATTTTGGCATTTGAAAATAAGGTACAATTTCATTTTCAATTAAGAAAAATATCAGAAAAGTATTGAATGGACTCTGTTTTTACTTCTTTCATCTGTTTATTTATTTCATGCATTTGGTCTTTGTAGGGTCTCACTATGCAGCTGACTCATAGTGATCCTCCTGTTTCAACCTAGTCCTGGCACAGGGATTACAAGTGTGTACCACCACAGTAGCCCGCTCAGCATGCCTGGGGGCGGGGCCGGCACGGCAAGTGGTGCCTGGGATTGAACTACAGTCCCTGCATTTGCCTAAGCAGTACTTAGTCTGCTGAGCTATCTCACTGGCCCTCTTTTTTTTTTTTTTTTTAAGAGAGCATTTCACTATGTATTTCGAGTTGGCCTTGAAGTCACATGCCCCTTCTCCCCTGTCTCTTGAATGCTGGGGTTACAGGAAAGCACCACCAGGCCTGGTTTGGGAATGAACTCCTGTAAGTCAAATTATTCTAGAATAACTTGGATGTATTTCTAGTACTCACTAATGTTAAAAATAACATCTCAAAGATTTATACAGAAATCTTGCCTCATTTTTGTTTAAGGGGAGTTGTTTATGTAGCTAACATTTTTGGAAGTTTTAGTCCATAATGAGCTGGCTGCAGGCTGGCTGGAGTGGAAGAAAGTCATCGTAGAGGAGACAGAGTTCATGGCAAGCAGAAAGTGACAAAGCCTGCGAGAGAACTCTTGTCCTAGTTTTATATTTTATTTTCTTCCATATAAATTTATTCAGATTGTTTACTGGTTCCTTGCCAGAGTAAAAAAAAGAAAAGTTTAGCTACTTGACAAACCACATTCATAATTATTTCATGCAAAATATAAAAATGATTTCAAAATATTGCTGGTGACTTTTTACTTTTAATGAAAGCTATATCAAACAACTTCATGTTTTTCTTTTACTGTTTTCTTTACAAAGTATCATTAATGTAATATTAATTGGAGAAATAAAATTTGATAGTAATTGTATATAACATAAAAGTTTGACGAGTGTCATTCAAATAAAATAATTTATTTCCTTTAATAGGATTATTTGACAGCTCATAAGAGCCATAAAATGAATGGAAAGGATCATAGAGATGACTCATTCATAATCTTTTTTCATATTTGATGCTGACTTCTTTCCCCAAACACAAAATAGTATTTAAAATGTGTCTCTATTTTTTAATTTCTATTTTTTACAACTTTTTCACAGTTTTAGAGCAGATGGAATTTTTCTTTATTAAGCGTAGTTCATTTGCTGACTCCACGTGTGTTCTTGTTTCATGTTCCATGCTGGTGAGAGAGTTTCTGTTCCCTCCTCCCTTGGCGGGTCAGTTACGTACTGTTGCAATCTAGTGCAGCCTGTCTCACAATGAATGTGTGTTCCTGTCACCTTCTGTTCCTCTTCTAATAGAGTTTCATTGCCTAGGAAGTAGTGTATGGAGGGGAGTCTTTGCTGAGCACACAGACCACAGTGTGAGGCTCAAGGATGTGTTACATATATTGGTCCCAGAAATGCAACTAAAAGTGGACAGGTCCAGGTGACAACTGGCCTGCCTTTCCTTCTTTTTTATTGTTTTCTGAAAAATATTTATTCGTTTACTTATTTGCTGCAGGGTCTCCCTATGCAGCTCTGACTCACAGTGATCCTCCTGTCTCCCCCTCCCAAGTTCTGGGATTACAGGTGCTCCACCACACCCAGTTTCAGTGGCCGACACGGCATGTGGTACCAGGAATCGAACTCGGTCCTTGTGCTTACCAGGCAGGTGCTTACCCTGCCGGTCTATCTCCTCAGCCCTCCCACTTTTTTAATTCTCATCCTTCTCTTATTTTCTGTGCTTTCAAAAATAAACTCTTAGCACACATTATACAATGTACAGGGACAATGGCTCACCAAATTGGACACAAGAAATAAACAAGAATTTGCAGATGTTCTTTCCCCCAAACTTCTCACAAACAATCCTTCATCGTCTCTTAGCAAGTCTTTCAGACATTTCCGTACTTATCTGGTGGCTGACTGGGAACTGACAGAGCGGAGATACAGGAGGGACTTCAGGAAACATGCAAATGCTGTATGGCGAACGAAGCTGCGAGCTAACCTGGTTTACTTCTCTGTCAAAATATTACTCTTAAGATTAGTTTATTTAAATATATGTAAATGTTGCCTCAAGAACAAGAACCGTAAGAATATTCTAAGAACAATTGAACGGGGAGCGTGTAGAGCGGTAGGGAGGAAGCAATTGTGTCTGCATGCTGAGACTTAAACCTGATGACGCTCAGCATAGCCTGTCTCCTTACGCTATTGTGTTTGCTTTTCAAATGTTAGAAATGTTCTATAATATTTTAAAAATTAGTTTAAAAGAGAACATGTTATGCATCTCAAAGAATTATTTTCACTCTAACATTTTTGTTGCAGTATCAAGGCTAAACATTTTTGAGTCTTATAACATTTCTCTTTACAAGGTGCAGAATGCAGAATAACAATCCCCTCATAATTAGAATTTTGGACCTTCTGTCTAACAAGTGTTGAGTTGGAAAAGAATGACTGATGTAAGCATAAGGGTGCTGATGTTCCCCAAAATAAACGCATTTATTTGTTTATTATGTTCTTTTATTTTATGCCATACTAGGTATCGAACTTGGGACCCTATGCTTGCCAGGCAGGTGCCTATGCCACTAAGCTATCTCCCCAGCCCTTTTTTTTTGAGTAGTACAAAACAGTAATAAAAAATGTTTTAGAAATAACACAAAATTTCACTAAACAAAGTAAGAGGAATTCAACAATAGTTGTGTATTGCACAATGTTATCTTCAAATCAGTTGTTTAGGTTACAAGAGATTTTTCTTAAAAAGTTCTAAGAAATTAAAAAGGAAAAAATAAGTAGAAAAAGGAAAAAAAATAAGCATTAATTGCTCCATGTAAAGAATGAGCAGTACAATTATCCAAATTAGTCATCTGGTTTTTACATTCAAATCTTTTCGTAAGACATCAGATCTCAGGGAACATTTTTATATGTATCTCTCCTAGTTTTCTATTATTGGGCCATCCTCCTTTATAGCTACCTTTACCCTGGAGTCTTAGAAAGAAAATTATCTAAGGGAAGTTCCTAGAGAAGTTGTCTTGTTTCCACAGAGGTCTGAACACACCCTGCGCAGTATGTTCAGAAGTATTTTGAATCATTTATTCTCTTCCTCTTGTGATTTTTATTCCTCTCAGACAGACGTCAAAAGAAGGCACTTCTACTTGCATAACGAGAACCCTTTCCCTGGAACCTGAAGTGTGCTGCTGCATGAGCCTGGCCCCATACGAGCCAGCTTCTTTCCAGTGCACTGCGGGGCTCAGAGGTCACACTAGGAGCAAGGAAGGACGTAGACACAGCCTCTCTTCCCTCAAAGTGCCAGCCTTCTCTCCTTGGGTAGACACCACTAAGGCATTCTCTGGCCCTATGCAAAGCAGCAGAATTTCAATATGAACCTCAAGTAGTGAAGGTTATTTGGCAAATGAACTTTGTTATTTATTGTCAGGGTTAATCGTAGTTTATGACGGATGAGATGATCTTTTCAGTGGGAAAAATCATGGAGCTTATTCTCAATAGGCATCACTGTTACTATAGTCT